AATGAAGTCATATGCCTGAAAACTGATGGCAACTTTTTTTCTCCAAATTTACTGGAAATATGTTATTTAGATCTGACAAGTGTATTTTGAAATATTACATCCAAAGCTAACTGCAAGTCACTTTCCCATTAGTAACAGGCTAAAACGAAGTAGTCAGAGCTGTAAAACAGAATTGAGATTTACAAAAAAAGCATATCATTCTCTAAAGTAGACGTGATTCGAATGATATACAATTGTTAAAACTAACAAGATCCTAAGATATGATGAATAACCTCATTTAATAAGTATCCCTAGTAAAATAACTAAGCATTATTCGTGTATCTCTTTAAATCCAGTCGTGTGCCGAAGTTGAAGAATCTCTGGTCTGAGGTCTAGGGCGCTTATACAATTCCCATCACGGGACTCTGAGGAGCGAATCGCCACGTTCGGTAACAGGTGGCTAATATTTTTTACAGAGATCGCTGGGCTTGATTGTTGTTGACTGGAAACGCCGTGTTAGAGCTGGTGTATGTGAAATTTTGTTTCAAGGACCAAAAGATTTTGAGAATTTGAAACAAGAACAATCTGCGTTTGCCCATTAATATATATGATAGAGCAGGACAGAGCCATTTTGCATTATCTAAGCAAGGGAAGTGAAAACGTTGATCGACCTGGGTGGTGCAATGAAATGGGGAATTAAACTTTGGGGTAAAATATAAAATGTGTTAATTTGTCTATGATACAGCTTGAGTGAATATACTGATGGTTGGAACGATGGCTGGATTGGATTGGATTCATATTTGACAACAAAAAAGTTAAAATGCAACACTGGTTATGTTCGATCTTGGTTGCATTATGCCTCTTTTGGAATGAATCATGACTCCTTTTAAACGGTATAAAAGACTTTTACATGGATAATCAGCATGGCCGCAACCACGATAAGATCCCAACACTTTGATAGTAATAATCTGTGGGTATTGTGGAAAAGGTATAAATGGGGAGGATTAGGCTCACAAAGCATGAGAGTCCCGCATTAAGTCTTCATTAGGAACTACACACTGGTCAAAAATCGAAATGCGTCATTACATATCTTGTTATTTGACGTTGCTTATTCTCTCATTCATGCCTTTCCTACACTTTTTACAATGCTTCCACTCATCCTTCACACTGAAAATAAAATCATGTGGAACAGAATGATCTGCTGGGAAATTCAAGCTGTGAAGGAACAATTATAAAGGCAATTTTTTCAGAATCTTCGCTCTCCGCTTCCCTTCTTTCAATGTATATGAAAAGGATCTCATAAAACAGTTGTTGATAAAATGTTAATTTTATTTATGATACTGTGATGAACACAATAATGCCTTCAAATATTATAATCATTATCGTTACCTTATCAGTTACTACTGTAATCATATATCTCGTTTATATTGAAATTACAATACTGATAGCAATGGTAGAGATGTAAGGGGTATTGTTGTCGGTGACAGTAATATGAACGCTGGAGGTTCTGCAGCAGAAACATCTGCGAGAACAGTAATAGCAGTAACCATTCATGGTTTAATACTACTGCACCAACACTTACACAGGTTTGAAAGCTTAATCATCTACTATTAGGAAAGCTATACATGGTGATTACAATAATAATTAGAATATTGTATATTACCATTTGCAATAATCATTAGACTATGGATATAAGAATGATAGCAATAGTAGTAGTTGCAGCGAAAATAGTAGCGTTAAACGAAGTAAAATTAAGGGCACAGAGCCATCACGTAGTTTATTGGATTTTAGACACTGAAAATATTCATTTCTGGATGTTTAAAAAAAAACACACACACACGCACACACACACACACACACACACACACACACACACACACACACACACACACACACACACACACACACACACACACACACACACATACACACACACACACACACACACACACACACACACACACACACACACACACACACACACACACATATGTATATATATCTGTGTGTGTGTGTGTGTGTGTGTCCATATATATGTATATATATGTATATATATACGTATATATGTATTTATATTTATGTATACATATGTAAACATATAGATGTATGTATAATAATAATAATAATGATAATAATAATATTATTGTTGATAATAATAATGATAATAATAGTAATAATAATAATAATGCTAATAACAATAATAATAATAATAATAATAATAATAATAATAATAATAATAATAACGATAATAATGATAATAATAATAATAATAATAATGATAATAATAATAATAATAACAACAACAACAACAACAACAACAATAATAATAATAATAATAATAATAATAATAATAATAATGATAATAATAATAATAATAATAACAATAATAATAATGATAACAATAGTAGTTGTAGTAGTAATATTGATAACAAAAAATATTTCTAAAATAATGATAATAAATATAATTATAACATTAATGATAATAACAGTAGCGAAGACGATTATGATAATAATAACAATGATGTTGAAAATAATAATAATAATAATAAAGATAATAATAGTAACAATAATGATAAGAAAAATAACAATAATGATAAAAAAATAACAATAACCACAGTAATAATAATAATAATAATAATATAATTACAATAATGATAATAATTATAATAACCATAATAACAGTAATGATAATAATAATATGATAATAATAACTACAACAATAACATTGGTAATAAAAATAACTACAGCAACAACATCACTTGTAATAATAATAATAATAATAATAATAATAATAATAATAATAATAATAATGATAATAAAATAACAATAGATAAACAAAGATAGTACACTTACACCATTAACGGTAGCATAATGGTACTAACGAGAGCTAAAAACAATGGTGGTAAAGTGAACAATATTATAATATAGTAGACATAGAAATTACGGGAGTTAAAGGGATTTGCTAAAGGCGTCTTCTGTGTATGTCAATTAAGTTAATGCCGTGTTAATTTATTCCAAAGCCACAGTACTTGCGCCGAAGATGCAAGACACACCTGCCAGGCGCACGGATCAGCATGAATTTCAGTTAACTTTCTGTTTCATTTGAAAAAAAACCCTAGAACGTGAGTAATTATGATTGACAGTCACCCACTATAATTTTCATATTACACGGTAATGTTGTTAAGGAGGCATTTGCTATGGAAACAATAAAATATACATATACAGGTTAGCATTGCATCACGAATATATTACAACTTAGTCAGTACAATTGATATATATATAAATGACTTTAAATAGACTTTGAATTTTATAGGTAATTTAACTGAAAGTGACAAACATAAAATATTCGTAACATCATTTCATATTTGGTTTCCTGACAGCTTTTCCTGGTATGTGATCGAGGGCCGAGGGGCACGGGTATGTTGCTTTTTCCGGATTTGTTATCCTGAAAATCAGGATAACAAATTTCCACGAAGTATTACAGTTCACTATAATTTAGAGATTCAAAAGGTTTATATATAGAATTTGAAATCTAATCGTGAAATTAGTACACGGTTCTTCTTTTATCCCATTTAGATACTGAATAAGATGGGAATGTTTCCCAATCTGGAAATAACGTTTTCTTTTCAGTATCTGAAAGCCTTTTTCTTTTTTCTTTTTACAGGGTTGCATCTGCTGTTTGAATATCCCACAATTTATTAGAATAGACATGGATATGTCAGAACTTGTTTTCTTATTGCTAAGAATGAAAGTCAATGGCAATGCAACTCCGCGTTTTCTATGGAGTTGATGATGTTATTACGTATCAACACAAGATTGGTGGGTTAACTAACTCGGCCTGCTGCGTTGATACCTATGAAACCTTAGTGCATACAACGGCTTCTGAGTAAATGTAAGGGTGCCTTAGATGGAAATATACTTAGAGAATACCGCTGATCGGCCGATGGGTAATACTCAGTTCCTTGTTTTTCTGTAATTTGGATTTCTGAGTTCAGGGGCGTCATTTCAGCTTTTTCTTGGGGGGAGAGGGGTGGAGGGGAGGGCAAGGTTGGCGACCAAAACGTGCTCAGCCATTTTCTGGGATGCTGTGAGCCCTTCAAGAATATTTTAAAAGAAAGGACCTACTCGATGAGCATTTTGAAGCAACGGCCAGAAATATAAAGGTGTAATTTAAGCTAAAAAATCGTGGGAGTGTGGTCTTTGGGTGGGAGGGGGGGGGGCAAGCCAGAACTTAAGGGGGTCAATCAGAATCTTGGGAGGCAATTCCTCCACCCACCCAAATTTATAAAATTTGGAAACGACATGCGGTGCTCGCAGTGAGAGCGTAGTGAATCTCCAACTGAAGGACTGAAGAACCTAGGGAGAATTCACGAGTTGCCCCTCTACAAACACGATGTCAAAGCCGGTAGCTGAGTCTCCAGGAAGCTGTGAGGGGGTGGGAGACAAGGAGACGCTGTGGCAAATGAGCTTTGCCATTTTAGGAGAGCACATTCTGCCTGATGGGATCATACAGTCATATATTGTTAATTTTTACAATATTGTTTTAACAATCTTTCTTGACGGGAATACTGCCTCCACCTCCAGATTCCCCTCATGTTATAAGCGCGCTTGCTGGGGAGGTTATGTATGTCCCGGACGGCCGGGTCAAGGGGGAAGAGCATCTCTCAGCCGTGAGGCTCGGCATTGGAGCAAAGAGATTCTTGCTTGTGGTCGCAAGGACACAAGCAATAAGGTGGTAAGATGGAATCTATAACTTTTCATCAATTCGTAATAAGGTGATGTGCTCTTTTTGCGGATTATGTATATATATATATATATATATATATATATATATATATATATATATATATATATATATATATATATATATATATATTTATATGATTTATATGATTGACCCTTGAATTTCTACTGTTTTGTATTTCGTGACCTTATTTTAGCATTTTCGAGTTCGTTTTATTTTTGCATCTTAGTATTTACCGGTGTATTTTAATATTGGAGGATTTAGTGATTTTTTGTGC